TGGTGATTCCTGGCTTCTCGCCAGCTTGACCTTCTTTGCTTCTTCTGTACAGACTGGGCCTGGCCTAGTGTTCTAAATCGGGAACTCCATTTTGGTGGCATTCTGATGTTGATGTTCCTATGGCACTTTCTTCCCCCCACCCCCACTTGAGTTTGGGGCTAGTGTGTTTCGTGAATGATCAGCCTTGTGTTTGTTCATGTTTTAAGTCAAAATTCCAGCTTCAAATCCCTGAACTTAACAAATTGTCAGAAGAACAAATCAGATACTACCTTCTGAATTTTGGAGGCACCCCCAAGCATCTCATTGATGACCAGGAGTTTCTGAATCAATGCATTCCCATTCTGAAGGCAGATATTGGCATTGTGAAAAACTTTGTGTAAGTAACTCTGTGTGTGTGTGTGTGTGTGTGTGTGTTGGTATATATAGAAACATATAAGCCAGGTGGTGATGGTGCACATCTTTAACGCCAATACTCAGCATTTGGGGACAGGTGATCTCTGTGAGTTTGAGGCCAGCCTGGTCTACATAGTGAGTTCCAGAACCAACAGGGCTACACAGTAAAACCCTGTCTTGAAACCCCATCCCAAAAGAAAAGAAAGAAAGAAAGAAAGATTGGCAGTTCAGCTGGACATTGGTGGCTCATGCCTTTAATCCCAGCACTCAGGAGTCAGAGGCAGGTGGATCTCTGTGAGTTCAAGAACAGCATGGTCTACAAGAGCTAGTTCCAGGACAGCCTCCAAAGCCACAGAGCCCCAAAAAAACAAAAAAAAAAAAAAAAAAAAAAAAGATTGGCAGTTCACAGAGGCTGTGTATATGAAAATATAATATTCTGAAGGTTACAATGTGTTAGTTTCCTTTGAGGCCCAAAACACTGAAACTATGCAGGAAGCAGGACAAACAAGCTTGGATCTATGTGGCAATGATGGCTAAGTTGGTAACAATATGTAGTAGTCTTGAGGGTCACTAAGAGCAGTATATTAAAGTGTTCTTGTCACAAAAAGATCAGTTTGTGTACAGCTGTCTTCATTTAGCCATTTTTATTTGTCAGTTCAAGTAGTAATGTAAAAAAAAAAAAAAACATTGGGATGACAAGGGGCTGCCAGGAGCAGGGACACGTGAGAGACTGGTCTGTGGCATCCACTTTTCCTTATAATCTAAAAATTCTTTTAAAAATCTATTAATTAAAAACTAAGCTTTAGGAATTGAAACAGCATAGTAGTGGCATAATAAGAGACATACCAATGAATGCATAGAATTAGAGAGCTCACAAATAGATTCACATATTTATATTAAATAGCAAAATGCCAAGAATATTCTAGGGGGAAAAGGACATTCTTTTAAGTACATTTTATTACGTATTTATTTTGGGTGTGGGAGGCGAGTGTATGAGCTTGCTAAAGTGTACCTGTGGAGCTCAGATGACAACTTTTGGAAGTTGGTTCTTTCCTTCCACCATGTGGGTCCCAGAAACTGAACTCTGGTATCGAAGCTTGGTGTAAGCATCTCTGCCCACTGGCCTAGGACAGTCTCTAATTAATAAAACCTCACGGAGTTGTGCAGGTGAAATGAAATCATGCTTAGGTGTAGCCCAGTTCTTACCCAAGGCCACTTTAAAGATTTATGTGTACAAGTGTTGTGCCTACATGTGTGTATATGTGGCGTGTGCATGTAGTACCCAAGGAAACCAGAAGAGGGCATTAGATTCCCTGAAACTGAATTTACAGACGAGTTCCCAGGTACCATGTGGTGCCAGGAAGCAAACCTTGGATCCTCCTCCAGAATGCTCTTAACTGCTGAGCTATCTCCACAGCCCCAAAAGCCACTTTGAAAAGGAAAATGTAACAAACCTCACCCCTATGGATTTCTTTCACTCCCCATAGCCTCAGTAGCACAAACATAAAGCGGCTTCCTCCAGATTGGCAAGGCTACCTCTAACCTACTCCTGAATCTTCTCTTATCTCCCTTCCTTCTTTCCTCTTCCCAAATATGCCCCAACCTCACCACTCCTAAGCTCTCAGTTTCTTAAAATTTATAAAACTAGGTTCACAGAACATCTCTCGGCACTCTCCCATCACCTATCACTAAGGTTCAGACCATTAGCCCAAACAGAGACCTCTATCGGCTGGGAGATACCAAAATCTATGACCCCTCTCAACTCCCAGTCTCCTTCCTGGATCCCAGTGTTGTCCCAGCTCCCCTTCTACCACCCAATTCCACATATATCGGCCTGTTTGCTATTTGATTGTCTCTAGATGTGTCCACAGCTCTTAGGTGTTCTGTCTTCTCTTTGTAAGATCTCCCTCCTTGGGTCACTTCTAATGACCATTTTCAAGTTCACCGATTCTTTCTCCAGCTGTGTGAAGTCTACTACTGACAAGTCCTCCAAATGAATTATTCTTTTTCTCTATTTATTTCTAAAAATTACATTCAACTCTAGCACTTAGTTCATGATTGGAAAACGGTCCGGGCCACATGGACCTCAGTTCTGATGGAGAGAGCTGGTCCCTGTGAATATCTTCCTTGTTGGGACTAGCGGGAGAAGGGTGAGAAGCAGGGCTATCCCGTTTCATTTCAGTGAGGTTGGGAAGAGGAAAAGACTCTGGGGTGTTAAGGATGAAAATTACAAATGAGCTCTTTGATGTTACAGCTTTGACACACCCTCAGAAACGCTCCTTTCCCAGGACATAACATGTTTTATTGGATCTGAAGACATAATAATAAAGAACACAGAAGGTGAAATTGCTTTTATAATCCGGGGTATTTTGTTGAAAAGTGTGTGGGATGGTTCTCAGCAAATGTCAACTAGTAGTCACTGAAACAGAAATCAGCCGGAGTTTTACTGGGTGTAAACAAAGAGATGTTGGCCTCTTGTAAAATTTAAGATACAGGTCACATCACTGAATACTGATAGGTCTTAAAGAGATTAAAAACGCAGGATACCCAGAAACCTGAGACCTTGGATGCAACTCTATCATTGAGTGTCAGCTTTTAGTGAAATAATACCTGGAAGTAAGTCTTCTGTTGTCATCGGCTAATGCCATTTACTACTAAAGAAAATTGTGTCTATTTCTTAGGCTGGAAAGACATAACCAGTGGGAAGATTGACATCCACATGCTGCCAGGTGATCACTTTTATCTGTTGGACCCTGACAACGAGAACTTCATCAAGAACTATATAACCAAGTGTTTGGAGCTGTCGTCACTTGATTGCTGTTAGATGGGCTTTCTTCAGGCTTTCAAATATGCAAATGGATCACAAACTGCCTCTCTAGGTCATGGAGATGTGGCTCTTTAGTTTTCGGAGATTAGAAAGATGCATATTAATGAATTTCTTCATGGGGCATTCCTCTATCTGGGGAAGAGACAAACCCTGAAGGTCAGGGAGGCAAAGGGGCTATTGTAGTTGATAGCTGCAGTGGGAAGAGGGGCTGCTTTTCTTGGGGGGATGTCACCACTAGCAGGGTACTCATGCTCCAGTGAATGCCGTACACCCTTGTGGTACAGCAGGCAGCACTAATTGGACTCAGTGTGCTATTTAAGAAAGAAGATGAGAAAGGGGCATGAAGTTGGGAGGGGTACATGGTGGAGGACATCCGTGGTGGTGGGGGAGTTGGAAAGGCAAGAGAGGGGTGGATATGAATATTATCAAAACACGCTGTATACCTTTAGGAAAAGTTCAAAGGATAAATAAAAATATTGTTAAAGGAAGAAAACTTCTGCTAAAGTCCTTTATCTTTTTCTTAGACTCCAATTTGATTGACATTTATTCAAAGTTTCATCAGCAATGTGCCTCCAGATGGGGTTACACCTGCAGCCTCTTGCACTATTTTAATGGCAAGAGTGATTGACAGAGGGAAACTATCATTTCTCCAACACCACACCGTGGCTCAAAGTTTAATCTAAATCTTTAAAACTATACATTAGACCTATTTCATAAGAAAGAGTAATTGCTGCTTTATAAAAAATACAACAATAGGGGCTGGAGAGATGGAGAGTTAAGAGCACTGACTGCTCTTCCAGAGCTCCTGAGATCAATTCCCAGCAACCACATGGTGGCTCACAGCCATCCGTTATGAGATCTGGTGCCCTCTTCTGGTGTGCAGATATACATGGGAGCAGAATGTTGTATACATAATAAATAAATAAAATCTTTAAAAAAAATACCACACTAAACAATTACTGTTCATTGTGATAGGAAGACCTCAGGGTGCCTACAACCCCAGATATCTTGGGGTCCTGCTACCCTGACAGTGACTGGTTGGAACTCAGAGCCCTTCCATGGGTGGTCAAACCACAACCTGTTTAGGAAATTTGTCCATGTCACATAGGAAGTCAGGAAGCAAGTCTACCTGTCACTCCACAGTGCCACATTCTTGGGGCCCCAAGGCTACATGGTGCAGTAAAGGTACTGTTCTTCTGTTTGTCCCACCTTCCCACCCTTTCCTTCAGTTTTAGGCTTTTTTTTTTTTTGAGACAGGCTGCCCTTGAACTCATGACTCTCCTGGCTCTACTTCTTGAAGCACTGGGAATAGTCTGGCTGCTATTAATTCTGAACAAACTCTTCTTATTGCCCAGTAGTACTAACTCATTATAGAAGAACAGATTAAGTCAAGCAAACCAATACTGGGGCTGGGGAGATGGCTCAGTCAGTAAAGAGCTTGCCTCATAAGCATAACACCTGAGTTCAAGCCCCAGACTGCCAAGCATGGTGGGACACATCTGTAATCCCAGTGCTGGGGAGACAGGGGAAAGAGGATATCTGGGGCTAGTCAGTTTGCAATACTTGTTAAGCTCCAAGCCAAAGAGAGACCCTGCCTCACAGGAAGTAAATAACATACCTTAGAAAAACACCCAAAGTTAACCTCTGGCTTCCACATGCATGCATACACATGTGTAACACACACACATGTAAACACTCATGCACACACATAAATGCTAAAAGAAACAGATGTTTATTCAAGTTTGTATGCATACTACAAAATTATTTTTGAAATGGAACCTTGAATAGCCACCTTGCACAAGAAAGTAAAATTAGGTAACTATGTTAACATAGTCCTAAGTATTGTGACTCATAGGAAAAATATACATGATTTATGGAGCTACCAATACATTTCCCCCTAAACATCATGATGCTGTTATGAAGGCTTCCACAGGAAATCTGTCTCCTCTGTCAAATTCTAGATTCCATATTTCTCAATCAACTCTCTTGCTTTAGAAATATAGGCACTCATGGCATCTTCCTTCGACAATCCTAGAAAGACACAAACATGTTATCTCACTAACTAGTTTGGTGGGAAGTGAAGAAGGTTTGTTTTAATTTTACTTAAGAGTTAAAAAAAAAAAAACAGCTGGGCAATGGTGGCACATGCCTTTAGTCAGAGGCAGGCGCATCTATGTGAGTTTGAGGCCATCTTGGTCTACAAAGCTACACCGGAGAAAACCCATCTCAACTAAAATAAAAATTAAAAAAAAAAGAGTTAAAGACCTTTCTGGAGGCTCCATGCTTCCCACTTGGCCTTGCCCTTCAAATCTAACATTGCTGGGCATGCTGCCAAAAGAAGGAGAGAGTTTCAACTTTACTTTTCACTTCTACAGACACTGTGCAAACAAGTACATCTATTTGTCTAAAACCATGATTGGGTACCACCAATGTTGATGTCTCCGATGATGGACTGTTTGTAGAGCCCATAGAGTTCTTTGAGCTCTTCATCTTCAGGTCTGCTTTTCAGCTTCCTCACGTCTTGTGCGGCCTGGTCAAAGTCAGCCTAGGTCAAGACAGCAAGGACACACAAAAGGCACATATGTGGTGTGTATACAAGACATACACATAAAATCTGAAATTTGTTTTATTATAAGTCTCATGTCAACTGATTTCCAGTAAAGAGAGTTGTTTGGCTTATTTCAGGTTGAATAGCAAATGTGTTTTATCCCAAGGGGAAAACATTTATAATCTCTCCCTGTCCTCTCCTTTCTCCCTCCCTCTATAACAAATGCTGAAGAGAAATCACTTTACAAAGAGAAGAGTTGGTGAGCAGCCAAAGGTCTAACCACAGAGGTGGAGTGTAGGTAGCTAGAGGGAAACGCATCAGAAGGAGGCTGCCTCAAGAAGCTGGTGCTTGCAATGAATCCTGGGTAAGGGTGTACTGGTATCTGGTATGAAGATGCGAGCTGGAAAAGCTGCTTCTACAATACAGACAGAATTCACTAGGGTTGAACAAAAAGGGTGGGTCAGATCACATCTGTTTGTTCCCCCCATACATCCACAACAAAGGGCAGGAACCATTCACCCTTGTCTGCTGATCACGGCAAGAGACTGATCAAAGACCATTAGGTATGTCCATGGTGGGTAGATCAGAACATTACCATAGTTGACACAACTTTACATGTGTAGTGAATTTCAAAGCGTTCTGGGCAAAAGGAGGGCAACCTTTCCTATGCTCCTGAGCCCAGGGAGCTGGGCTCCTGTGGCAGGTGTTTCTGTTTCAGCTAAGTGAGTTTTCAGCATCCGTGTTGGATGTTCATCCTTGTGATCTTCCTCTCACTTGTGAACAATGCCCTCCCCATCCATGAGTGTGCTCCAGGGCCCTCCTGCTCCCACCTGTCCTGTGACAGTGATGACGGTCACAATGAGCATAGAACATCATCTCAAAGAACGACTTGGTTCTCTGAATACTCCCATTCATATGTCATCCCTCTGAAGACAGCCTCTGAAGGTGATTCACAATTTACCCTACTATCTACAGAAAGTGAACTGAACTGTCGGGGGCCATGGCAAAAGTAACCTTGGACCTGTAAGAGACTTGGGCTTCTTCAGAGAAAGTTTCCAGCATTTTAAGAATAACCCCTTATGTTAAAAGAATAGCTGCCTTCAATCCTTCCTTCCTGATACATAGCATTTGGGCCCACAGAAGTAGCTTGTAGAAACATTTCACCGTCAGGTTACCTAGCAACCCTTCCCCCATGCATTCTGTAACCCAACTAACATTTAGCCCTTTCAGCCCCTATCTAGACACAGGCACTGTCCAACCTTGCCAGGCATCCTGGACTCCCCACTTTCCTTCAAGGACTCACGCACAGGGACATTCCTCAGTCTGGTTATCAGGCAAGCAGCCTCAAACGACCTCTCCCTGCCTGCCAAGCTCCCCGCTTGGCACCCCTATATAAGGTCCCTGTGAAAAATAAAAAATTGCAACTTGATCAGAAACCTGTCTTGCTGTATGTTCTTTGTTCTCCCTGACCCTATCGTTCTAGGTTCTTTGGTGACTGCAGCACATCGGGGTGTGAGCTCGTGTGGTGCTCAGCAGGTTGGGGCACTGAGCAGTCAGCCTACATGTGAGCTTGATGAAGCCCTTTGAGCAATTCTTTCTTGTTGAAGGACTGAATTGGGAGGTAAATCCTTCAGTCAAGGTACTGAAGTTATGTGAATCACACAAGTAAGTGTCTCTCTCTCTCTCTCTCTCTCTCTCTCTCTCTCTCTCTCTCTCTGTGTGTGTGTGTGTGTGTGTGTGTGTGTGTGTGTGTGTGTGTGTGTTAAGGTTTAGCTATGTTGTCTAGGCTACCCCAGAACACTCAGGCTTAAATGATCCCCCGCTTCAGTTTTTCTAATGGTGGCAAGTGAATCCAGGGACTCCTGCATACTAAGGAACTACCCTACCAACTGACCCACACATGTGCAATCCCCTTTATTTCTCAAATGGACTTCCAACTTGCCTTTATCCTTCTTTTCTGCTTGAACTACTTTTCTGTTCTGATCTGTTGTTTTTTGATTCTTTCTGAGACAGGGTCTCATGTAGCCCAGTGCTGCCTTGAATCTGCCATGTAGCTAAGGTTGGCGTGGACTCTTGGTCCTGTCTCTAAATCCTGAGTGCTGGGATTACAGGTGCATACTGCCACACCTGGCTTAGACTATACCCCTCTAGAGTATATTGTGTTTTTTTTATATTATTACATTAGTAAGGATTTCAAATTGAAATAAAAGGCATATGTTTTAACAAAATTTCATCTGTAATACTTTATTCAAGTGTAATCAATTGCAGTGACTATAATTCAAGCATTCTTTGATCATAGTGATGCTGATATCAAGCAAGGGTGTGTTTTAAAACTAGAATCCCTTTTCTTTCTTTTTTGTTTTTGTTTTTCGAGACAGGGTTTCTCTGTGTAACAGTACTGGCTGTGCTGAAACTCTGAGCTGTAGACCAGGCTGGCCTCAAACTCACAGAAATCCACTTGCCTTTGCCTCACAAGTGCTTGGATTAAAGGTATGGGCCACCACTGCCTGGCTACAATTAGAATCTTAGCAAAGTGAAAGAAAGTTTTGTTACAGCAATAATAGACTTAACACATTTTAACATTCACAGCAATAGAAACCCATGCCCTGTATTAGTTTTAATTAATTGGCCTACTTTTTCAGTGCTGCCCTATTGTCGTGGTTGTTATTCTCATGCCTTAGCTTATTGCCCCCTTCGTGATGTCCCTTAACCTTTAGATTCTCAATGGAAATATTTTAGAAGTAACTAAAGATACCCTTCCCCACTGCTGCTTTAAACACTGCCCACGTGGCTCATCTAATGGCCTCTATCCTCCACTTTTATGTACTCTACATTTACTATTGTGTGGAGGGGGGGCACAGGTGCCAGGGCATGCATTCAGAGGCTAGGGAACAATTGCAAGAGTGGGTCCTTTCCATCTACCTTGTGGGTTGTGAGGGTTAAACTCAGATCACCAGGTTTGCTAGCAGGCACCATAACCCTCTCCTCTACCATGAGATAAAATGATGACTGAGTCAGGCAGACACACACACACACACACACACACACACACACACACACACGCGCAAACGTGTCATAGACTACGAGGGAGATGCAAGCCTCCATGTTTCTGGTGTATGTCATCCACCCATAATAACATCTTGCCTGAAGAAATAGTTAAAGAAGTTAGCTATACTCATAAAATGTTTGGCGTTAGACATGTGTGTCTTCGAAGGCACTTTAATGAGAAAATGCTCCTAACATAACTTACATACAGAAACGAATCACGGATGTATTATGATCACATATCTATCATTATACACATATGGGGGAAAAAAAGGCATATTAAGGAAGCAACCTATCATGTGGTTATCTACCAGAGGAAGGTTCTCCCGGTCTTTAATTTATTCATATTTATTCTCTTTCCGTTTCAATTAATAAAACGGCAAGGTCAGCGCATCATAGAGTAACCAGCACTACTATTCAGCAAAACACTTGGCTATGAGAACCTCCGGAGGCCCCAAGAGCAATGGGGCATAGACACCCCAGTGAATGTCACCTGCTTCCCTGAGTTGTTTAGAGAGAGATGAAGGAGGGCCCCCGGGAGCTTGTCAATTTTTTACATCCCTGGGGCCCAGAAGGGTTGCCATGGGGAGCCTGGATCCTTGTCTACAGTGCAATAGCAAGGCGTTTATGCAGGTGTGGGGAGTGACTGCAGGGTCGAAGCCAGACGCTCCTGAGCGCTCCACCTGCCCCTGCCCTGCCCCGGAGCTATCAAGCCTCCTCTCGCCCTATCAGAGCGCTTCCTTCTCGGAGCATCGCTCCTGCAAAGCCTTCCCACATCCGGCTTACCTGCAGGGACATAGTGATGAAGAAGGGTATCCTGTGGCTCTCCGGCTCTGGGTCTCAGTTCCCAGGGCTTGGCCACTTTCTTAAAGAGAAGCGCTCCTCCTCCGGACTCTCCTATAGGTCGTGCTCTGGGCAACGACGACTCTAATTGGTCACCAGAGCTGGAGGGCGGAGCCTGGCGAGGCCTGTACCCGCCCAGTCGCTCAGAGACCCCTCCTGGTCTGCCTCTCCTTGGAGAGGTTTGCTAGATTACCTCTCTGCTCCTAGCTCAAAGTTCAATTTTTAAATTATTTATTTATCTAATTTATTTTTGTCTCAAGAGGTTGTTTTTAGGAGGCTAAGAGAGGTCTCCCCGGGGCTTGGACCTCACCTGGGAATCCCTGATCTGTGATTCTAGAAATCTGGGTGTTGAGTCACGATTACTGGAACCTCTCAATTGCCACCACGCGAACTCATCAGGAGTGAAACGGGACCAGAAAGGCATACATTCTAAGCTCGAGCTGCATTCATCCCTGCTGGCATTTACTGTTTAGTGGGACCTAGAACTCTCCGGCTGCAAATTCACCATCACCTGCAGGGTCTCAAAATAAGGCTGTGAACCGCATTTTGCCACACTTCCGGAGAACTGTACAAAGATTGCAGTTCCGGAGAAGAATTTGTTTCTGACTGATTGAAGCAGATTTGTGGAGATGGAGACTGAGTTTAAACATAGAGCAATGCAACCTGTGATGAAGAAAAAAAGCCCCCCAAACTTTCTAACTTGGTTTTGTGTAAAATGCATTTTAGAAAATATTTGCTACTTTTTTTGTGTGAATCTTGCTGTCTCCCCATTTTGATCACTTTTCTTTCTTTTTTTTTTTTTTGGTGGTAATATTAATCAGTTCCTAACTACAGGACAAAAGGCAATTTTGGAGCAGCATCTGGGCAGCATGTGGTCTTGGACATGGGAAGTACATGGTGGGATACTAGAGCAAAGGTTAGTTTCAGAACAGCGAGGTTTTCTGATAGTCGAGTAGTGGCTGCTGAAAGTGCCCATCTACATCCTTTTGACACTATAGTCGTTATAAGAGATTAGCAAAGGGAAGCCACACTGCTCTTTCTTACACTGGAAAGTTTATTGTTTTTAAGATAGAGTCTTACGTATTTCAAGTTGTCCTTGAATTCACTCAACCTCAGGCTGGCCTCCACTTTGTGATCCTCCTGCCTCAGTTTCCCAAGTGCTGGGATGATAGGCATTCATAGAATGTTCAAGTTCTCTTTTCCGAGCTGTGGTCCTTCATTCGGATGCCAGAGCCTTGCAAGACTCTCCAAGGCTGTCATCCGTCCATTTCTCTAATTTCAGCTGAGCCTGTGGCTGTTCCTTTCCCTCTCCTTGGCCTTCCCATTCTACCTTTGGGTGTAGTGGGTTCCTGTGTTAAGACTGTAGCACGGTATGCAAAAGTTCAGAGTTGGCTCTTTAACACAGACAGAATATACATAATGCCTGTTATCTGACCTCAGGACTTAAGGATATTGTTCCAGAGAATTTGAGGTACAGGGAACTGACATCATGTTGTTCTGGGTGTTACATGAGTGTAAACAAATGGTCTGAGTCTAATCTGGTGCCTTTTCTCTTTACTGGCCTGCTCTATGGACGGGTGGCACTGGTACCGTACTGTTGCCTGGGAATAGTCCACATGCTCAAGATACCTTCCATTCATATTGCTGCCATGGACACAGAGCTCACTGGGTTGTCCAGTGGACCTTCCAATAGCACAGACTTGAAGTCTTTTCTTTGATTTGGCAGCTCATCATTAAAGTCCATTCTCAATTAACAGATTTCAAATGTTGGACTGACTGTAGACATGCAGGAAAAGCCATAAGGAAACCAATATTTTATTTTACTTTTGGTTTTTCAAGACAGGGTTTCTCTGTGTAACAGCCCTAGCTGACCTGGAATTCACTCTGTAGACTAGGCTGGCCTTGAACTCACAGAGACCCACCTCTCTCTGCTGGGATTAAAGGTGTGTGCCGCCACTGTCTGGCTGAAACCAGTATTTTAGACAATTTCTACATACTAATAAAAACTAGAAATAAAATAATTGTTATTAACAGTTATCTTTGCAGAATCCACAAAACCACAATAGCACACAACAAATACAGAACAAAGGTCAGAATTCCATGGAAGAAAAGAAAAATCTGGTATTCAAATATTGCACAATATTTATTGACAAACTTTTTGTCAGCTCTAATGCTACAATTTCTTACTTAGAATCTTAAACTAATGTTATTTTGTTGTAACCTTTATCTAACAGTTCAAGAATTAATACAAAAATAAAGCTTCTATAAACCTTCTAAGTTATTAAAAGCTTTTAAGAGATGTTCATAAACTTAACAATTATTTTAAAATAACAGCTATCATTGAAAAGCAAAATTGACCATTAGGTATAGAATGCCAAATATATAGTAATTAAGGAAACTACAGGATGCTTACTGAAAAATGTTTGTAGAAATATTTGAGACATACTGGAAAATGCTTGTAGAAAAACAATCTGAACATAAACTGAATTGATATTACTGTTTTTTAAGCACACATCTATTGGAAATAAGTTAGTATATGACTCTGAACAAAAATGTGGGGGTGACTGTATCATCTCAGATGATTTTTAAGAGAACCTCTAAAAATAACTTGTTTTGTTATGAAGTTTGTGTCACACAAATGGAATAAATTACCTATGAGAAATAGCATGGTTTTTTTTTGTAAAATTCTTGTGGAAATAATGCCAGACTTCAAACAGAAAACAAGGACTAAAATAGTAGAGGATATATTTAAATTTTATTAACCTGATTCTGCCAAAGATGTCACTGGGCCATCACGGTTCAGTTTGTCTGGCACTTACTATGTGGCAGGCACTGTGATAAGCATCTTACACAGAACTCTCTTCTAATCCTCAGAATAGGTGCTATTTTTATCACTTCATAACTTGTGCCAGGCATAGGTACACTAGTTAGTGGTAAGGTTAGGGTTCCAACTTAGCAGCCTGGTTCCAAAGCTTTGTAATGTAGGAGCTAGAAAAATGATCACGTGAAAGGTTAGGTCATGGGTAAACTTTATTTCTGGAACTTTAGTGGGATAACAACAGAGCCATTGCCTTCTTTTCTGCTTACCTTTTTACTTCTGTTTCTCTCCCCCTCTTGCCTCTCATTTTTCCTCTTCTTTTCTTTTCCTTTCCTTCCTTCTTTCATTCTTTCGTGTGTGTGTGTGTGTGTGTGTGTGTGTGTGTGTCTCGGGGGTGTGGGCTGTAGCTGAGGTTGGTCGCCTTGAACTAAGCAGTCCAGGCTGACCTTGAACTCTACATATTCCCGACTCAGTCTCCCAAGCACCAGGGTTTTATGTGAACCTTTAGTGTTTCAATTGACTATCGCAATTTGTCTTCAGCGCCACATGACTGCAAAAGGGTGAAGAACGTTTTATGAAACAAAAGCCTGTTGTTACACTCAAAACTCATGCTGGCTTTATTCTTGATAATCTGCTTGTGATAAAAACCACAGCACATTCCCTGTAAAAACTGCAACAATCTTTGACCCAAAGCAACCCTTTTTGTTTTGTTTAATTTATGTGCAGTAGGTGGTGTATAATGAAAATACTAGACTCTAAAGTTTTACAATCTAAAATGAGCAGTGAAGACACTGAGAACAGGAGGAAGGCATGGAGAAGGACCTGAGTCCACCCAAATTCGTTAGAAAAGGACAGAAAGGATAAAAACATTTTGTCAAATGTAGCCAACAGATTTAGGTTTTTAAATCGTTGGCACAGTATCCCACTCTTTTGCTAGTGTCCATAACTCCCCAGTGATCCTGTTCATAACCAATATTTTTCTTTTGGTTTTTCCAGAGAGGATTTCTTTGTGTAGCCCTAGCTAGCTGTTCTGGAACTCACTCTGTAAACCAGACTGGCCTCGAACTTGCAGAAATCCTCCTGCCTCTGCCTCCCAAGTGCTGGGATTAAAGGCGTGTGCCACCACCGCTTGGCTTGATAACCATTTTTTGTCTCCATTTTTGTCTCCAAGGCAGAACAGATGTTGCTGGAATATTCTGGAATACTGCTGTGGAATTGAAAGCCGCCCTTATTTCTCTTGGAGTTGGCTCAAAATTCTCCACCTAAATTGTAATTACACCTAACCCTACAACCCTTATTTATTTGATTTTCGTGGCGCGGGGACATGTGCAGAGAATGAATGGTTATAAGGGCTGGAGCTTTGCGATTCTAGAATGAAAAGAGATAGCGGGCCAGAATTCCAAGGCAGAAGCCATCGTGCTTAAACCACGAACCAGAACCCAGGAACCGGTGGCTAGACCATCTTTACACCACCAGTCCAGACTGAGAGCGGCTGGTTACTACAGCAACCACAGACTCTCGCGAGACAGATCATACGCCTGCGCAGTGCTGCTCCAGAGGTCTGTCCCGAGCTTAGGGATTTTACGGAAGGACTTCCTGCTGTCACAAGCTGCCGCTCAAGTCCCTTACCAGGTGTGACGTAATGCAGAAGGGAGGCGGTCAGGCTGCGCAGGCGCAGCGCAGGCGCACGTGGAGCCGGCGCTCGGGTCCCCAGTGGCGGCGGAGTCGTGATACGGAGTCCCTGTCTTGTGGTCTCCGCAGGGCGCGCTTCGGGAGAGGTGGGCGAGCGCCTATGGTCCGAGTCCCAGCCCGTGGGCACCCCTGTCACCGCGGGGTGGTGGGAAAGGGGCTGCAGACAGCTTCTGAGGTCACTCCAGGTCTCCCTGAAGCCCCTTCCGGCGTTCTCAGTCTCCCTCCGGAGGGGTTTCCTTTGCGTGGCGAAACGCGGGTACCTCTGCTTCTCCCGAGACCACGGGACTGGTGCTCTGCTGCTGACAACCTTTCCCAGGTCCCTTCCCAGAATCAAGGTCTTTCCGTGACGCCTTTCTAATCGCGCCACTCCACCGCCAAGACTCTCCATCTTGTCCCTACCCGGTAATTCCAACGCCTTTATCTCTGTCCCAGCGACACTGAATATTCTTCTGGGTTACCCCGCTGCCCCCTTTCTACTTAGTCTGGAAGGAATTCTTTAGAGAGCGTTCATTTCCCCCAGAGAGCCTTCTTTTCCTGACTCTCTCGGCTAAGGCCACACCTCTCTGCTCCCTAAGGTACATCACTACTACTCTTTTAAAGTGAGACGTTTTTATTAACCGCAGAGGCCTTCGCTTTGCACAACGCCTAATGGTTTAGGGCATCAAGGATATAATCCATAAGACTTTGACGAAGAGAGAGCATGTGGTATGTGAGTCGTATCCTAGGCTGGATACACGGAGCATAAGGACATGAGACACCAGAGGTTTCATTAAATAGCCCGAATCTATAATATGCATGGTGGGTGAAAGGAGAAAGGCTTGTGAGAAATGGGAGGGTAAAAGCTAAACCTTTGAGTTTTCAGTTGATCCCGTAGGCAGCAGCAGCTTGCAGACACAGATGGCAAGGCACATGTCCATCCTGGTTTCCTGTCTATGAAGCTGTTAAGCATTTTTTCATATTGCATGCGGCGGCCACCTTATGCAGACTTGACTTTTTTCATCTTCCCTTCCAGGTTCTGTGTATCAGAGAAGTGATCCCAATCTTGCTGTCCCTTGGTTGCAGAGTATCTAAGAGTGAGTGTCCCTCGTAAACCGATGGGCTAGGCCCATACAGTAACTGAATCGCCGGTTGGTAAGAACTGTGGTGGGGCCGTTGTCTTGCTCCCTGGTCACTTTGTCTGACCACCTACAGCCAGATATCAGCTTCTGGCAGTCACCTCACTAGATCTGGATGGCCTTCTGTTCTTTAATCTCTGAGCCTGAGGGGAGCATAGAGCTAATAAGGGACCAATGGGAGAGTGCAGTGCAGTGTGGGGAAGGAAGCATCAACAGACCATGTCTGTAGCAGTGGGCAGCATTGACAGGACCAGGTTGCAGCACTCACTGGGAGGAATTCTGGCTTTATGGATCAGGATCTCGGAGTGATTCTGCAACACCATTTCTTGGGACTGTCCAGTTTGGAAAGCCAACCTGTCCCACAACCAACATTTCCAAATGCTGGTTCTTTTTCAGTTCACTTGGACATCTTACCAGCACCCATGACTTGGCTGCACTCCTACAGCTCAGTAGCTCTAGAGTGGGAACCAGCCATCTGTATGTTCTTATAAGCTACAGGTTATTTCGAAGATGGAGCCATGAGTCAGCTTCCTAACCCATACACTGAGGAACCCTATAGGTGTGTTAGGGAATTGGGTATATATTTGGAGAAAGTGCCCTGAAATGGAGGAACCTTAATCAAAGGGGACTTGCTTAAATGGGTCTTTATAGTTCTTAGATAAACTCTAGGAAGGAGAAAATAACTGAGAGAAGGAAGTATGCAGTTGCCTTTGGAAAGGACAAGCCTGATCTAGATGAATACCCAACTAGAGAGCAACCAAGAACATCCTAAAGAGTCTGTAAGGCTAATACCATATCTGTAGTCTCTAGGAAAATTATGAATAGGCCAATGGCTTCTAATACGCTTTCGGAAGGAGCCCAGCCCTTTTATTTCTCCCTAATGGATTAATTTCTTTGAATTTCATCACAAATTTTCATGAAATTGCCTGTCAAAGCAGTCATCTTATAATCTAATGAAGGGAAAAATATGTGCCTGTATGTTTTAGGAAGGAAATTGGGGATCATTGAAGGAGACTTACAAAGGGGTACAGAATAAGTTTTAGCCATGGACATATATTACTTTTGGTTCTTAAAGCCTGATCTGGTTAGTTATGAATTTCAGAGACTACAGATAAGCTCTGTGTGGGCAGACACAAGTGTCTTGATGCCCACCAGCAGCTGTGCCTAGAACACCATCTGCCCACTGGAGTATATGGGCTGATGAATGAGTGAATGAGGGGCCCTTGAGATTCTTCAGAGAGTAAAAGCATTTGCCACTATGCTTGTGACCCAAGTTCTACCCTGTGATTCAACATGGTAGAAGGAGAGAACCTACTTTGATAGAGCTGTCCCCTCTGACGCTCTATGATATGATCCCCAATCCTAGTAACTTAATTTTTAAAAATAAATGAGTGAAGTCTAATTAAGAGTTTAGAAGATGCTAAACCTCTGAGCTTAACACCAGTCATTCTCACATTGCCTGTGTATCATGGAAAAAAATAGGGGAAATTATAACTACTTCATTTTACCAGAGAAGTTATGTTCATGGCTACCTAGTTGGGCCTATATAATTAGACTTGCCTATCAGTTTGGAGTAAAAAACAAGAAAACACTGGAATATAACCAAAATATTCTCAGAGCATGCATTACTAACATGAGATAATGCTTCTTTCTGAAGGGTTTTCAAGATGGCTGCAGCCCCTCAAGCACCTAAGAGGGGATCTATTAGGAAGACTAGACCTCTGGTTGTAAAGACATCACTGAACAACCCGTATGTCATTTCCTGGAGCACCTTGGAGAGAGAGGACATACACTTTATATTACAGACACTTGAAGACAAATTTAAATCAATTGGACTAAAGAAAATTGAAGATAAAAAGAAAAAAACACCTTTTGTAAAAAAGCAAAGATGCAGCCCAGATGTTGAGATTAGTGAGGGTCTGAAAGAGGAGCACGATGGGAATGTGCAGGTCTCAGGGTGGACACCCGCACATGTCAGAAAACAGCTGGTCATTGGCGTTAATGAAGTCACCAGAGCCCTGGAGAGGAATGAACTGCTCCTAGTTCTAGTTTGTAAGTCGGTCAAGCCTGCTGTCATCACCTCACACATGATTCAGCTGAGTATAAGCAGAACTGTGCCCGCTTGCCAGGTTCCTCAGCTCAGCCAGAGAATTGCTCCTGTCATTGGCTTAAAATGTATGCTAGCCTTGGGCTTTAGAAAGAACTCCATGGACTTCGCTGAGGAAGTAAGAGCTATCATTCCCAGGGTGCCCAGCTTACATGTGCCATGGCTTCAAGACAGAACCCAAGATCCTAAAGACAGTTTAGAGACAGAATCTTTGGAAAGCCGGGACAAAGAGATTTTGGACACTTCATTTGATGACCTTACAAAAGTTAGTAAGAGAAAGCCTGCCGAAGGTGGGCAGGCTTCCACTACAATACTACAACCCCTTAAAATAAAGAAACTCATTCCCAACCCTCATAAGATAAGGAAACCACCCAAAAGTAAAAAATCCATTTCAAAGTAGTTTTGTATGAACTTGTCATTTCATGAAAGGATATGATCTAAATACTTTTATTTTAAAACAAATAAAGTATGTTTACATATATTCTTAGGATCTTGCATGGAGGTGTTCTTTCAGATATGGCAAGTCTTTCTGACTGGGTGGGACACATACATTGAAACTTAAAACCATGAGGTACAGAAAACACTCAAAAACGATGATTAACAAAACCAAAGTTTATTGAGACTAATGTCCATGCGTGTATAAATTCACTGCTTTAAAGGCTGGTACAATGCTTGCTTGCAAGAACATCAGTTTCCTACAGCACTTAACATTTCTCTACCAAACTTGGAAAATGGGCCACAAACATGGTCTAGTAAGGTGGGTGGAACAACTAGAGAAGGTCCTCAGTTGTAAGGGAGAGACACTAAATGCTAAGCAGTACACTGTCTTCAAAAGCGGCATACCATTTTTACTTGGTGGTAATTTGGCTTTTTTTGTAGGTAAGCATTGACTTGGAAAAAGGCTTGTTTAATACAGAAAAAGAAAAGCCTGGTAAGGTTATTTTATTAAGAATTCCCTCCCTGCCCATAATTTCCTTGCAATATTTAACATCTATCAAAAGTACATTGGGGGTATAGCTCTGTGGCAGAACATGTACTTATTAGCACACACAATCCCTGGCTTGATCCCCAGCACCAAAACAAACAAAACAAAACAACACAACAAAACTAACAACAAAAATTAACTACAGTAGTAACTTAGGTGAAATGTGGCAAGAGAAGAGATCCAATGGGTCTTGCAGACTAAGAAATGGAGTATTCAGTGCTTTGGATATGAATCTACCATGTGTCTGGAAAATCATTCTGTAATTTATGAGGAAGTAAATGTGGCATTAAAACCTCTTTACCCCAAGTTCTGCTTGAACTCATGGGCTGTGCCACCTTTGTTCCATTTGCTGACAAATTTCCATTTTTTTGAAGGAAAGAAACCTTATAGCACATTTTGGATATAAAGACAGGGCAGTGTAACTTAAAAACAACTCTGGAGACTGTTGTATTTATATTTGTTTTTAACATCTATTTTATATCCGAGCAGTTGTACTGGTTAGTGATTTTCTAAAACATCAATTGGTCATGTGCTTAAATTATGAATACACCAATGTTAACTATTAGTGTATTTAAAGTGATAAGTTTTGTAACAACTGCAATGTGCAGTAAACAAATCTCTAAAGGGATTGTTTAAGTTTCCTCATGAGGTAAATAAGCCCATGAAAAAATTCATGACTGACCTGAAAACTCAATTTGTATACGACATAAAAAATGAGTGAGACAATTCCCAAAGAGCTGTATATCCAGATTCACTAAACTTGCTTACCTAATGCAGTCTTTCTAAATGGTGTTCCAATGAATAGGTAGTTTTACTTTCTGAAGGTGTTCTGTTAAAATGTGACACAGCTGGGCATGGACCATATGAAATGAGAAATCTGCTGTGTGTCTTTAGGAATAGTACTGGTCCCACTTCTGCACCACTTGTGAGATCCAGGTGTCCCCTCTAGTGGTGCTATCAGGGATGGCACAATTTGTGGTCTACTACTTAGGACCTCAGTCCACAAACACCATTAAGAGGCCAGACAGCAAATATTTTAACTTTGCAGGCAATATAATTCCAGTCTGTCACAACTACTTGATTTCCCTATGTAGCATGATGCAGCCATAGGCAGGTCATAAGTGAAGATGTGGCTGTATTCTGATAAAACTTTTGAATTTCTTAAGATTTGCATGTTACAAAATGCCATCCTTTGGGCCATTTCCCCCAACCATTTAAAGTAATAATGGCCATTCTCAGCTCATGAGCTGTCCAGAACAGCCAACAGGTGGGACTCGCCCTAAAGGTAATATTTGGTGAGTCTTTTCTAGTGGGAAGAAAATGCCACGCTGTCTGAAGTAGGTGTTCTGGACTGGAACGGAGGCACTGTAGTAAAGGCAGGAAGATGTATGTACTTGGTGGCCTCTGACTCAAAGGCCAGTCTATACAATGGCCTTGTTTAGTATTTTGTTTTCCCTTGGATTAGTGGCAGCATATACACATATATGTACACTGTGAAACTTGTTTTTCAAATTCTAGGTAAAAACAACATCAGTAACAAAATTATGAATACTTATTTACAAGTAAGACATTTTCCATTAGCATGACAATTTTCATGATAAATTAAAGTCAGCATAAAGGAACATGTGCAATTTTGCATAATAAAAACATTCAGACCATCTTCGTGCTGACAGCACTACTACACTCCTCTGGGCATTTAATCTGACCTTAGAACTTTCACTTCCTTCCCCTCACACATCCTAGACATTGCTGAGAAATAAAGACTGCAAGCAGTCGCAAGGTCTGGTCAGTCAGGTGTGTGTGTACTCTTCAGTGAGCATGCTCAACATTTGCCCCAAACTTTGCTTTTGAAACAATCCACTGACCTGCTGAAGAGCAAAGGACAAACCTGCATATTTACTGATTTGGCTACTATGCTTATGTGATAGACCTGTGTGTTTGCTGATTTGGCTACTACGCTTATGGAATAAATGTGCTAAGTCACTGGTACATTTTCATATTGCTCCATACGTAATTATCTATCACATGTCAATTCTATAAACATTTCCAGTGGCATCATGTAAGGTGATACACATATGGATCCTTGTTCTGTTATACAAGTATATCACCACTTAAACAGAAAAGCAGCAGTGACTCTCCTAACAGCAAAGGTTTTCTTAACATGATGCTACAACTTCTGTTTGGTTCACAGAGTAACAGTCCACTTCTAGAGTGGAAGGACAACATCCTCTATTTACCACAAGAGCTCTGTGGACACTTTCATCCCTCCCACACATCAGACAACAGCAGAGATTGGCTCTCAACATCCTAACTAGAAATGTGTACTATTGGCCATCTGTTCTGATTGTTATCAACTACTTCAATGTCACTCAACTTGTGCTTTTATTCTTCTTTGGAATGGCAGTTCCAGGACTCACTAAATAGAATATTAACAAATGAGAATGTCAGCCTTCTAGAAGAAACATATCCATCTACTGTAGAACAAGTCCAACCTAAAGAAAGGAAAAACATGAGATAAGACCAAATGGAAGAGGAAATCGAGTTATAACACAACAGACTATATCTGTGTTTAGAAAAGCGCCCCCCCCATGCTGACTTAGAGGGTAAAGGCACTTGCCACACAAGCCTGATGGCCTTATTTCAGTCCCTGGAAGCCTAGTAGAAGTAGAATATTGACTGACTCCTCAAAGCTGTCCTTTGACCTCCATTTATGCTGTGTAGCACATATGTACCCATACAGAAAAAAAAACAAAACAAAAACCAACAGCAACAACAAAAAACCAAATAAATAAAAAGTCTCCTTCATCCCTATAGTAGTACAGGATTGTTTGAATTAACCGATTCCACTTATAATCTCTCTCTCTCTCTCTCTCTCTCTCTCTCTCTCTCTCTCTCGCTCTCTCGCTCTATCTCTCTGTGTGTGTGTGTGTGTGTGTGTGAGAGAGAGAGAGAGAGAGAGAGAGAGAGAGAGAGAGATTAAAAACAACAGAAATAGATAAAAGCCCCTTTATCCTAAAGGAAGCTGGTATGGGGCTGTGATAATAAGCTCACTCACCTTTTCCGAGTCTGTCCCTGGACACCTCCAGTTGTACAAATAATACTGTAAGTTGCCGTCTCCTATACCAAACTTGAGTTTTTCCAAGAAGGTCTTATTTTCCATCAAATCTAGTGCATTGAATACATCAAATCCTTTCTGCCAATATAAAAAATTTAAAATACCAAGGGCTTAATGTATTCTTTGTGTATATGTTCCTGTATAACATTAAATTCTTTTACAGTAACTTAAATATGTACTTATAAGGCTAAATATCTACAATATAAAGGCACTGACTAAGAATCATCTTAGAAGACTGTATTATAAAGACAGCTGGGGAAGGGAGCTAGAGAAGTGCTCCATGGTTAAAAGCCACACTGCTCTCGCAGGGGACCTTTCTGTAAGTTGACTTGCTTAAGGAGAACAAACAAAATAGTACAAAAAGCAACACCACTCACCAACTTGGCTATAATGAGCGCGTCATTCATGAGGTCCAGCAGTGGTGTCTCCGTGTGAATGTTGTAGAAGGAATAGGCAGCCTTGAGGCTCTTGTGGGCAGGGTGGTGCATAACCGTGGAGGGGAGCGTGTAGAAGCTCAGGAAATCAGTCAGCTTTCCACTGGGGCTCTGAGGAGCAGAGGTAAGCAACAGCGAGTGAGTGTTTCCTTGAACAAGCATTCAGATGCTGATCTATGACTTACACCCAACTTTCTGTCCAAACAAGGAGCAATAACTGAGATTCCCCTCTCTGTGACCCAGTTTGAGGCCTTTATGCTGGGTAGAGAGCAACAGGTGGATGGAAGTTTTTAGCTAAAGTGCTAGAGGAAGATGTGTAAGCTCTTCCAAAGCAGGTCCTAATAGAGAGTTTCTCCAAGTTGACTGGTGAGTCAGTGCCCACGCTGATAGGACAGTAACAGAAGTAGATTTGCAGCCAAGCTGAGGACCAGAGGTTGCCTTCCCTACTCACACTGAAGCATATGCAGGCTGCTGCCAAGAGGAAATAGAGCTGCATGCCGAGCTAGCTACCCAGTGGTGAATAGAATACCATTCAAAGCACATGGCCACTCAGCCTTGGTACCTGACACCTATTCTTAGAAGTGAATGAAAGCTGGTAACTTTAGGAAAATAAAAAATAACAAGATTTGTTTGTTAGCATGTGAGTTTTCAGGGTCTACGTTAAAGTTTTAAAGAAGGAAAACACCATCATCTCCTCTACCATATCGTTACCTTATAATCTTTCCTGTGACAAAGATCTTATCCATGAATGTAATTTTAAATATTATCTAATGAAATGTCAGTATTTGAAAGATCTGTGTAACCCAGGAAATTACTATTTTCCAAGTAGTCAATGCATGATGTTGCAAACTTGTATGTAAATAAGATTCATTCAAAGAGCCACACATAAGTTAGTGATAGAGAATTTGCTTAGTGTGTATAAAATTGTGCTGGGGAAAGGGGTCACATAGAGA